CCCTCCCTAAACCCTAAAACCCCAAAGCCCTAAAACCATAGAACCCTAAAGCGCTAAAGCCCTAAAGCCCTAATACCCTGAAACCCTGAAACCCTAAAACCCTAAACCCCTCTCCGTCTCTCCTGAAGACCGTGGCTTTGTTGATTTCCCCGAAGGCGTTGAAGGTCGACCTCGGGCTCGGGAGCGCCCTCTCTTCAAAGGCTGCGACAAAAAGGAGAGAGGGAATAACAGGAACGGGTTTAGGGCTTTAGGGTTTAGAAGTCTTCAGGGTTTAGGGTTTTAGGGTTTTAGGGTTCGGGTTTAGGGGGCAAGGCTAGCAGCAGCGGCTATAATTCGCAGCAGGGCCTCCCTCCGCTGCGCGGTTTTAGCCGGGCCTCCGGCTGCGCTCCGTTCAGGGCGTTGCGCATGTCACCCTCTGCGGAGAAAGCCAAGGCTTCCAAACCGGACTGGTCGTACCTGAGCCCACGTCGGCAGTGTGTCCGCTGTCGAAGAGGGCCGAAGGATGCAGAATTGAGGCCGGCCAAGTACATATGCATTTCTGCTGTTCTGCCGACTGCGCCACGACTGTCGCAGAATAACTCCGCTGACGTGCACAGATATACATGCCGATGATGGTTGCTTCAGTGCTAGCCCACATCCAGTCTAAGGCAGGACGACATCGATGATTCACAAGTACTCGCCCCTTCTTGCAATCCTAAAGAGGGCCCTTCGCAGATTTTCCGTCCCAAACATATCCGGACATGTCTTTGCTCCCTGCCAAATCTCTGCAAAGGGACGGGGCGCCCTCCTTCTCCAACACTAGCTTCAGCCTTTGAAGCATGTCCTGTCGGGCGTGGAGTTACTCTGCCGGCCTGACAGTCGAATCCGTTCTCTCACTTCTCTCGGAGATCCTCGTCGGATATTCGGCTGAAACGAAGGATCGCACAGCGGGACCTCAACGCGAGAATCGTGGAGTCCTGGCCTCTGCGAGACCTGCCAAAAGCCCCCGGCTGGATGGGTTCGATGATCTTCGAAGAGATGTTGCACGCCAAGGCAAAGCGCGTGGTTTCGCCTCAGAAATACACGGGCCCTTGGATTCTTAATTCAGACCTAGTCAGGATGTGCTGAGTACTGTCTCGTGAACGCACATGGGGGGTCCAACTGAAGATCTCCATCGTCCGACGCATGGCCTCCAGAAGTTCTCCAACGGCAGAAGCTATCAAAGGGTCTCCCCCTGACGGCGCCTGCTGCGCAGCTTGGGTCATGCTGTCTGCTTCATCCAGAATAATTACCTGCACAGTCTGGACGTCGTGGTCCACAACACGAAGAATTCTCTAAAGGAGCTGGGACCTTCAACTTGCCTTCTGGCAAAGAAACCTTCTGTTGCGCGAAGCCCTGGCGCGTCGGGCTAAGTAATGGGGCATCTTTGTGTCTACCGCGTGTATCTCGCATAGACGGCATCTCTCTCTCGGGGGCGCCTTGATCTTTTCGCGCACGACGTCGATGCCTCGGTCATCCGAGGCGTTCAGCTCGATGCAGCCCTGCTCGTAGTGCTCTTGCAGGTGCTCCCTGCCGGAAGCGGAGTTCGAGAGAGAGAATTCTAACAAACTTTACTTTAGGCCCATATCCCAGCCAGGCCTGGCGAGACAGTGCACCACCGTGGTCTTGCCACAGCCGGGTGGACCGGTGAGGAGGAGGTGGGGGAAGGTGCCTCTTAAGCGACTCCCAAGCACGGAACCTATAAAGGGGCGCACCACCTGGCCTGCGGTGGCATGCGATCTGAGGATCGTCACGGCAGCAGAGTTGCCGACCACGTCCTTGCACATGTCGCGCTTGGCAAACAGTGGAGGCGCACGCGCAGGTGCCTCGAACTTGATGGGTCGGTACTTCTCCAGCCATATCTCCGGCATGGCCTATCGCAGGAGTCTACCAAGAAGTGGTACGTAGATACAAACCAAAACGCTGCAACCTTTTCAGCCAGGAGGTGCTGCCAATCCTAAAGTGAACGCTGCTACCCTACACGCGAGCCGATGGAGAGCCAGGATCTAAGAGTTGTCCAACGCGGTCCGAAATTGCCACATCATGCAGAATCAAAGCCTGGCAGCAAGGAAAAATCTTCAGCTTTTTCGCTGATGTCGAAGCTGACGCACGATGTCCAGAGGACGTGCAGGTAGATGCAGCTTCTCAGCTGGCACATTGAGGAAGCTGACCGTTGGCATCGAGCTCGCATAGCTGCCTTGCGAATCACTTCAGAGTAGGCAAACATTTGCCGCGCGTTTGCGCAACGCTGGTGCTGCACGTCTGTTTGAGCTTTCAGTGGAATCCAATTCCCAGGTCGCTCCCACAGTGCCAAACAGGTATAGGATTGTTCAGTTGAAGGCAATCGTTGCCAGGCGGCAGCTGCCAGAGAGCACATCGAAGCCACCACAGCTCTCCAAAGCGACAGAGCAGACGTGGAACCTTGCCAACACCATCGAGCTCTAAGCTCCGAAACCTACACACACACAAAGAAGGTGGCCTCACGAGCCCAGGCTCCACGGCGCCCCAACAGCACCTCCCAGGCTCCGCCGAGCCTGCAGACGGGAAAAGGGACGGGACGAGCTCTCGGCTCTCCGGGCTACAGACTGCGGATGACTGCGGCCTCCGGGCCAGGAGGCAAAGCAGAGTCGCGAGCAGCCACTGGTTCTGGTGCAAGGCCAGGGCCGATGCGAAGTGCGCTGCCAGGGCGAGTCCGCTGGAGGTGTCCAGGCCAGCGCCTCAGGCCCCCCGACGCGAGGCTCAGTGCACTTTTGGCTTTTGGGTGGGACTCTTCTGACGAGCATCGAAGTCGTGCTGGAACGAATACCGTCCTTCCAGTCTGCTCAAACTCGGCCTGCGCTGTTTGGGCACATTCAGTCTGATTCCATGGCTATCGATGCATCTTCTGGCCTTGTCCATGCGAAACTGGCCGCCAAGAAGCGCATTGCTGGGCAGGCAGTCGCCAAAGCGAGGTTGAACCGACCTAGCTTGCCCAAGCAGTTGTTCTCCGCATGTCTTTGCAAATCACCAGAAAGATAGGCTTACGCACGCACACGCACGCGCGCACGCAGGCAGACACACAGACAGAGAGACAGAGACAAAAAGCAGTGTTCTAGTTTGCGATTGCACCGGGTTTAGCTACACTGCGCAGCGACACTCCTATACGCACAACGCGCACCTCCGTGCTGAAAAGCCCTGAGACTGAGAGTCAGTCCGGTCCAGAGCGGACGGTGGCTCGCCACGGAGGAGGACGCAGACTTCACGCAGGGCCTCGAGGTTGTGACAAGGCAAGCCAGGAGCTCATTCGAAGCTTGCGCAGGCATGGGCACCCGGCGAAGTAGGCACTCACGAAGCATGCCAACGTCTGGCCTGCAGTCTCTGCCCTCTGCGGGCTGCTAGGGAGTGGCTCTTGGCCTTGCTGATGAGCGAGTACTGCGGTGGCTCGAGGAGGCTGCTCACCGCAACGGCAGTGGACTGCACACGGCACCGCACTGCACGGGGCACTTCAGAAGCTCCTTCCTCCGGGGGCCTTCCGCAGCCCAAGGCACCAGCCAAGCCTCTTCAGCAAAGTCTCATCGTGCACAGCACGTGCGAAGCAATGCTGGCAAAGGCACCCAGACAGTGGCACCCAGCAGGAGACGGAAGCGCCCAGCAGACTCCAAAAAGTTCACAACAAAGCCCACGCCACCAGGCTGCCTTGATAAACGTGCGAGAAACTCCGTCATGCAGCAGAGACGCTCCCATGCTAAGCTCAGCGCCGCGCACGAGGCCTCCCACCGCATACACCGTGGCCTCGAAACCCAACGACACCTCAGCTCACGGACTTACAAGCTCGATTTGGAATGTGGGATTGCCTGCAGCACAGCCAGCGAAACGAAGAGGGCGCCGTCCGACTGCGTCTCAAGGCATTGCTCCTTCGTTTCAAGTCTCTTGAGAGACTGATCAAAATGGCTCTCATCCATGAGGGTCTTTTTATGGGTTTTTTGGTGGGGGTGCCTTCACCAGGATGAGGTGGCCAAGGGCCACGCACAAGTAGATCAGCGTGGCCACCTTGCTGGGGCGAAATTAGCATCACCCCTTTAGCCGAAACCGACAAGCTTTCTCTTTCGATTCAATGAAGGCGCCGACGGGGCGGGCCCAGCCAGGATCTGCCAGGCCGTGGGCCTGACGCATGCATTTTCGTGTTCCTGGGATGTTCAAGCAGCATCTTCGACCGGCCATGCGGAGGCCTCCTCGCTGTCTTGCTGCTCGATGTCCTTGTCAACCTGGAAAAAAGGAGATTCTGTCAAACTCCCCCCAAATCCAACGAGAATGGCCTCTTTGCCTTTCTCGCGGTTCTTCAGGGGGTCCTCGGAGCTGCACCTTCATAAACAGAGTTGGCCACAACTTCAAGGGCGTTTCAACGGCTTTGACTGGGGAGGATGACAGCTCCCCGCCATCGACCTCGACAGCTCCACGCCATCGATTTGGCGCGGTGGGAAGGCGGCCTCTTCCATGGCGCCACAACATCACGAGGAGCAACGAAAAATCCTGTCGCCTACATCTACGTGAGATGGACATGTTGAGGTGGTGGGCATCTGCCCTCAAGTGTTGAACCATGTGCGGACGGCATGCTTTTGCGGGTTGGAGTCAGCATCATGTGTGTGAGAGTGTGTGTGTGTGTGTGCTTTACACGAAAACATGTGGGGCGTTTGCAGACTGAAATTCCAGGTCTGTCAGTCAGTGAGTGAGTGAGTGAGTGAGTGAGTGGGTGGGTGGGTGAGTGAGTGAGTGAGTGAGTGAGTGAGTGAGTGTGTGAGTGAGTGAGTGAGTGAGTGAGTGAGTGAGTGAGTGAGTGAGTGAGTGAGTGAGTGAGCTCGTGCGTGCGTGGGTGGGTGGGTGAGTGAGTGAGCGAGTGAGTGAGTGAGTGTGTGTGTGTGTGTTTGTGTGTGCGTTTGTGTGTNNGAGTGAGTGAGTGAGTGGGTGAGTGCGTGTGAGTGAGTGTGAGTGAGTGTGTATGTATGTGCACCCACCCCGCCCACCCAGAGATGTAAGCTGGGCGTATAGACCCTCGCAAAGCGCACAGGTCTACAATGTTTGCAAACAAAGCATGAGTCTCTTTTTACACTGGTGCACAGCTGTGAGAATGATCTTTGCTAGAATACATGCAAGTGGCATGCGAGACCGACATGCACCTGGATGATGTGTAACTTCATTGCTTCAACCAGGCACAAATTTCCTTCATGTAGAGCTGGGCTTCCAGTCGTGGTGGTTCCCATCGTTCCTCGGGAGCTCGTCGTGGTAGAAGTCAGAAGCATCGGCTTTGATCTTCGTCCATCCAGGTTCCAGACGGGAGTCCTGCCCCAGGTTAAAGTTCATCATGACTCATCGCCTTCTGCAAGTCCTCCAGAGTGCGGTTGTCCGCACCGACATTGGTGAGCAACAATTTGCGCTGCTCTGTCCAATGCCGCTTCACCGAAGAAACCACCACGCATTCTGCGGCAACTCGACCGAGTGGGTCGCACGAATTCGCCGCTCCGATCTCGAAAACTCCGCAGCACACTCCTGCAACGTCTGATTCTGCGTTCAACTTCACGAAGAGCGTCTTCCGTGAGAGGCTCGTACCTGAAGCCGCGGTCCAGGCGCTCAAAAACCGCGTTGTAGCCGTTTGGCCTGTTTGCGCACCAGTCCCGGCAGCTTGCCCCTCAAGCCCATTCGAGGACTGTTGCCACGTGAACCTTCGGAGCACTGCTTCAGCACAGTGCTCCGCCACCAATTGCAAAAGTTGGTGAATGTCCCACTTGCCGTCCACAGCACGCACAATCAGCAGACGAAGAAAGCAGCTGTTTTGCATAACGCTGCGATCTGGCTCAACGTCCTGCCCTGTAATACTGTAAACAAAGTAGCCGAGGCCAGCGGAAAAAGTGTCGAGCGCAGCGGCACGGAGAAGCCGGCTGGATGTTCGCAATCATTACATGGTTTGCGGCATGATCTTCACAATGGACGACAAATTGTGACAGACTGATTATTCAGCTTGCTGCATACCGCTCGGGTATTGCGCCACGTCACAAGAAGCCGTTGCCTTAAAAGCTTTGCGCCGCTCTTCGAGTAGCTTGCCTTCACAAGAAATTGCTATTTCAGCTGCTTCAGCTGGTAGACCATGTTTTCTTCGCCGGAGTTCAACAAGGCGGCTGCTGGTCTGAAGAAATGTCTCGCTGGGTGGAAAAAGTAGTGGACGCGGTACTGCCGGATCCTAAGAACTGACAAGACCGGCGTGCGGGCGACAGGTGTTCAAGACCGGTCACCACGTGACCGTCCGCAAAACACTCTGCAGAGAGGAACTGTTGAGACTGAGAACATGGCATGTACTGAGTGGTGGTTGGGCCATTAATCCCACTTGCTCAAAACTGTTGCTAAGACGAATCAATGCAGTCGACCCGTACATGTAAGTGGAAGGCTGCTGCTAGTGTTGAATGGTGCCAGAACCAGTCCACAACGGATTTCGGTTGAACTGCATTGGGCTGCAACAATGTGGTCCAGGGGTACACAGCTGGATGAACATGCATTGCCCGCAAGTTTTTTCCCAGGCATTCGGCATGAGATTGCTGAAACGAGTCAGCGAAGAAAAACAAACGCGAAAGATGTTAACAATCCTTGCGCCCAGAGTGTCAGTGCTTTGGGATATTCGAAGCTGCAAATCCAGCTTCTGAGTTCTCTCCTATGATGCGGTTGCATCTTTGACGGCCGCAAGATTCTTGATTGTCAGTCCTTGTTCAAAACATTCCAGGACTGTCTTGACATGTTTGCGCAACTGCGCAAACTTGCTTTTGAACTCTGGCATGTTCCTTAGCTCCAATCTTCAGCACGCTGGTCCGTCGCTCGCTGGGGTCTGCGGTCTGCTCTGGTGTCCAGCTTGAATTTGGGTGGGCCTTGCCAATAGCCTCCGGGCTTCTTCTTCGGATATAAGTTTGCTAGCCTTGACTCTTTTCGCCAAGTTCGGTAGAAATAAGCCTTGACCGGCCCAGTTTCCATTGCTTCAGGGTGTCAAGATCCCGATGGATTAGGGATCAGGGCCCCGCCTGGATCGTGCGTGTTCAGCTCTACGAGCGTTGTCACTGATCAGCCTTGAGTTTTTTCGGACCCGAAACAGTCACCTTTGTTTTGTGGTTCATGTGTCCTCCCACCGATTGCCCACATTGTCACATCGTGGCATGTCGGCATGTCTGAAGTTTCGTTCCTTCTTCTGAGTGAAGGTCGCTACCAAGGAATTTTGTGGGCAGATCAGCCGCAGAAGGTGTCTTTGTTATTCAACTTCTGAAAAGATCTTGGGAAGCCAACGTCGACGCAGACGCAGTTGTCTGAATGTTTTCGCAGATGAATCGCCCGACAAGCACAAAGATGCGAGCAAGTCTATGCCAAACTTCTCTGCTGGTCTGGTGGATCAGATGTGCGCACGATTGCCGGCGAAACCCAGCAACGACGAGTCGGAATGCTTGGCCAAAGCCAAAGCCAAGCTTGCTGCATGTTTTGGACCTCACTCCGGGGCAACGGGAAGGTACAGATATACCGAATAACACAGGCGGCGGCACCGATCAGGGTTCAATCGTTACGGAACCGACCAGGGTTCAATGCAATGCGGCACGGTGAACGGAAAAACTTCTAGTGACACACTTGTGTAATCTTCCCTTTGACTTGACTCGTCTCTTTTGATTGATTGATTGATTTCCAGACCTGAAAATGTTAAGCCACTTAGTAGGAAGTTTTTGCTGGCTCCGCACACTGCAAGTACATTAGGGTCGTCAGCCAGGATCTGCTGAAAAATTGCAAAAGCCTTGTGGCAGAGCTCTGCAAGGTTCCTCTGCCCGTCGGCACAGACTGATCAAACACCCTGTACATACGCAGTTGACCCCGGCGTCCCAGGATCATATCACAGTCGTCAGACAGGTGTCTTCGTTGGCCTGTGTCCTGTCTAAATGAGCCTTAAGGCTTCTGCATAAACATTCTACTGTCGCGTATGATTTTCCAAAGCGGCGAGTGACAGCCCGACCTCCATCACAAGGATTACTTTCTCAAAGGCTGATTGCACTCATGGTCGGCTTCAGGTCTAACAACTGCAGTTGTTGGCTGATGCTGGGCGCACAGAACTGGCGGACAATACATGTCAACATGCAAGTCGCATGCTGCACTGTTGGAATATATCTGCTGTGTCATGCTCCTGCAGCCCTAATGCATTCACAGATCGTTTGCACTTCTGTGGTGTCTTGTCTTCCTCGACCAAGGCAGACACTCACAGATTCCTGGCCCCCCTGCTGTAACGAAAACTCTGTCGAGACAGGCAGTGTACTTGTCTGCAACTGGGTAAAGGAAGTGAACAGAAACCCAGTCAAAACTCGCGATGCGCTTGACTGCAGACATGCAATGGGACGTGACTCCTTGAAGCTTATGTGCGAGAGCAGCGCGCGCACACACACACATACGGTGCCCCGAATTGGGGTGTGGCACAGCTGTGTATACAGACTTGAATCGAAAGCAGCCCATGAAAACTGCTTGTGGGTCCGCTCGCTGGTGTTGCACAACCGGCGTGTGGTCTGTCTTTCTCTGCAAGCCGAGCATCTCCTGAGCACAGTCGGCTGCACGCACTCGTCGAATCAATACCTCCGCCGTGTCTAACTGGTGTTTGGATCGAGCCCGTCAGGGTGCTGCAGTTGGTAATCAAGGTGTGAGAAATCGGTCGATGTGAGGGCCTGCTTGTGCCGAATCGGGCGTAGGCTCTTCAGGTTGAGGTTCCTCTGCATGTTGTGTGGTGCTGACGTCGGTCGCCGAATGTCGCCGATGGCGCTGGGAGGTCTGCATCGATGACACACACGCACACACACAGACAGAGATACTTGTGCATTCATCCGCAGCCTCCGACCAATGTCAGCGCATCTGAATACAGCCAAGTTCTATGTTCGGTGACCAAGGTTCCGGGGCTGTCTGACTTCATTGCTGTGGCCAACGTGAGCAGTGGATGATGGAAAGCTCGTGTTTTTCGGGTTTTTGTCTAAAGAAGTGTCCTTGAGTTAGCCTTGGGTAACAGGGTGTGACAAGCACACACACACACACACAAATGCAGCTTAGATGGTCGGGAGGCGACATCCAAGAGCAAGCACTGTGACAGCCCACAACACATTATATACTTATACAGCGCGTTCGCATGCGGACACCTTTTCACACAAGCACTACAAACACACATAAACACAAACACAAACACAAACACACAAACACACACACACACACGCACAGATAGATATATATATATATATACATACACACACACACACTCTCTGACTGACACTGACACTGCTCACAGGCCTGGCCGCCTGCTATGCCGCTCAGTTTCTGCATTCGCTTCCATTGCACCACTGGGTCTCCAGTTTCTCGGCCGAAACACAAGACCTTGGGCTGTCTTCGGACCAGCCCGAGAAGTGAAACGACACCGGCAGGTCCCAGGCAGCAGGCCACAATGCAAAGGGTT